GTGTGACCCTGAGCAAGTTATCTATCCTTTCTGGGCCTTCCTGTTTTAGGATAAAATGGAGTTGCAGGATTACTGGAAGACAATCTAAATGAAACCGATTCAATCAGATAATCTAAGTGAAAATCCCAATACAATGCTTAGTAAATATCAGTCGTCCATCCCTGGCTCCCCACAACCCCTCTCCATCTCTGCCCCAATAGCCAATGCAGGGCTTCTATGGGATCTTAGTCTCCTCTTTCCAGAGAACAGAGCAGGATTAAGGCGCACAGTGAAGGACACACAGTTCTGCTACATACAAGCAGCAGAGCCCCTCTGTCCACAGAAGGCGGCCGGTGTTTGCCCTTTCCCTTCCCAGTGGGGAAGGCCCCAGGCCGCTGACAGCCTGCCTTAACGACCTGCTGCGGACTATTTCCTTAGAGATAAACTGGACAAACGGTGAACAGGCATCAAGGACTTGAGTGGGTAAACTTGGCGGCAGCACCAACAGTACAACAGCAGGGGGCGGGGTTGCTCCACGGACTCCCACACCTGGAGCCGTTTAACAGCCCTTTCTGTTGACACTAGAGTGAAGCCTTTGAGGTCCTTCAATGTTGTCTGATACCACCAGTGGTCTCTTTTCACCTTGACGTTACAGAAGAGGAAACCTAGCCTCAGGGAGCTTAAATGACTGCCCCAGTCAGGAATGCAAAGACTCTGGTAAGTGAGGAGGCAGGACACCTCAGTTCAGATCCCAGCTATGCCAGCTACTAGCTCTGTGATTGTGGGCAAGTAAGCTCCACTTCCCTATACTTGTAAAATAGATAAGACCAGCACCACCATTATTAGGGTACTGTGGGAATTAAATGAGATAATGTACGTGAAGTGCTTAGGACAGTGTCTGATGCAGATTGAGCACTCGATAAATGATACCTGTTACTCTAATTACCAAGCTACTGAGCTTGTGTGGATGGGGGTGTGGGTGCTCTCAGCACTGCAGAAAATTTTTCTCTGCAGTCAGCCAGCCCATTACACCACAGTCTCGGTGGCTATGTCTGTGATTTCTTCACCAGTCTTTCCTGGAGTCACAAATTTAGAGGAAATGGTCTGCAGCTTGATGAGGCGACGACAGCTTTCTATCTGCAGCATCCCTTTTCCAGAGCTCTGCCTTTAGAAAACACTTCTCGAAAGAGAAAGCTCTTCACAATCCTGAGGAAGAAGGCCCTGAAAGTTCGTAGGAACCTCATGGCGGGGAAGGGGCACGGCGTTTCCCTCTGAAAATGATGTCAGATCAGGTCAAACAGCAGAGTTCTAGGTCGGGGCCATGAAGACCAACAGAGGCAGCTTTTCCCTCCTCCTTGGCCAAACGTCTCTGACAAGGGTGAAAAGGGCAGTCTTCAGAAAACCCGTCACCTGCTTTGCAAACATGCCAAGAGGCCAGGTCACCATTCACAGCTTCTTGTTTTAACCTCAGCTACAAACAATGAGTGCCCAAAAATGGATGCTTTTGAATTGTGGTGCTGGAGAAGACTCTTGAGAGTCCCTTGGACAGCAAGGACATGAAGCCAGTCAATCCTAAAGGAAATCAACCCTGAATATTCATTGAAAAGACTGAGGCTGAAGCTGAAGCTCCAATACACTGGTCACCTGATGGGAAGAGCTGACTCACTGGAAAAGACCCTGATGCTGGGAAAGATTGAGGGCAGGAGGAGAAGGGGACAACAGAGGATGAGATGGTTGGATGGCATCACAATCTCTGGGAGACACTGAAGGACAGGGAAGCTTGGCTTGCCATAATCCACGGGGTCAGAGAGTCAGACACAGCATTATCGACTAAACAACAACAACAAACAATGTGTGGCCCAGATGCTTTCCTCCCCACCAAGAGGGGGCCAGTTTTCCAGAAAGCTTCAGAGAGAAGGGCGCCAGCTCTAGAACCAACAGCACTGCTCATGGAGAAGGAAGGTTGGAGGAACTTAAGAGTCCAAATGGGCCCACTGCAAAGGCTGAGGAGAGGAAGCGGGAAGGGTGGTCACCAAGCATCCAGAGACCACGGGGATCCTGGCCAGGCGCCCACCGGCACCAGCACAATTCCGGACTTCCAGGTTGGTCAGCTGGCCTCCACTGTACAGCCGTGGTTCCCAGCCTCAAGTGGTTTCCTTTAGTCCGGGGAACCTGAGAATCTGGCGGAAGGCCCTATCAGAGGCAAGATTACGGATGTGGCTGCAGACAGGGGATGGGCTGGTGTAAGAAGGCCAGGGGAGGAGTTTGGGCTAAACTCCAGCAATTTCTCCATTCAATATCCAGCCCCACCCTGTGACTAGGAAAACAAAGGTGTGGGGGAAGGGGAGAAGAAAAGTCATTTCCTTTATTGTAACTGGAGCCGAGCTGGGATGGGAGTCAGAAAGAATGGATTCCTTTGGGTAGGTTGAAGGGAGGGTCCTGCTTCTAGCAGACTTGACCCTGGATCCTCTGAACCCAAACTCTGAAATCAGATCAGCTGGGGTGGAAGAGACCTTTTAAGACTGGTCAGGCTGAGGCCTTGTGCTCCTCATAACCAAGGTCACTTCCAGAGTCAGAGAGAAAATGCAGTCCTTCCAAGCCCTGAAGATATTCGTCCAATTTGGGGCAAAGTCAAATTAGCAAGATCGAAGCAGTCAATCCTAAAGGAAATCAACCCTGAATATTCACTGGAAGGACTGAGGCTGAAGCTCTAATACTTTGGCCCCCTGATGTGAAGAGCCGACTCACTGGAAAAGACCCTGATGCAGGGAAAGACTCAAGGCGGGAGGAGAAGAGGGGCAAGAGAGGATGAGATGGTTGGATGGCATCACCGACTCAACGGACATAAGTTTGCGCAAACTCCGGAAGATATCAGAGGACAGGGAAGGCTGGCATGCTGCAGTCCAGGGGGTCACAAAGAGTCGGACATGACTGAGCGACTGAATAGCAGCAACACATTGACTCCAGAGCAGCCAGTCTCCCCAGGGCAAACAGCCAGGCTCCGCCTGAGGGTCCTATGCCATCCAGTCTCCATGGGAAAGCTCAGGAGGCAGGAGACATGCCCCATCAGTAGAGCAAGATCAGAAAGACTCTGCCCGTGAGAAAGCTGCAAATGGGAGACTGAACTGAAATACTCTGCTTCCCCCACAGGCATGACATTGGTTTAACTGTGCCAGGGTGGTTCAAAGTTAAAATACTCATGTGCATGTAGGGGAATATAGACACACACTCAATATAACACTTAATGACAACTACTGATTATTAATGGTTTTCTATGTGTCAGGTGCTATGCCAGGGACTTTTTACGGGTCATCATATTTAATCCTCCTGAACAACCGTGTGAGACGAGAACTATTCTTTTCCCCATTTTACAGACGAGCTGCCTGAAGCTCAGGGAAGTCACTGACGGCCAGTTAATAAACTGCAAAGCCAGGATTTGAACAGTCTCCTCCACAGCCTGTGCTCTGCCACCAGGACAACGTGCCTTACTTCCTTATGAGCATGTACTTGTGTCTGTCTCTCACACACACAGTGCACGCGAACAAACTAGCATCCCACCAGACCTACTAGTGACCCAAGACTGCAGTTCTAGAGCCAGCTCATTTCATCCATGGCCTGTCCATGTAATTTTTGTCTTTCTGGTTTTGGGCCTCGAGTCTGTGATATAAGCGGCTGTATCATTCAGGAAGTGGTGCTTCTAGTTATAGGAGAATCCAGCAATTCTCCTATAGCTTTTCTAGCCATTCTTGCTTATTTTGGATAGAAGATATCCATACAAATAGGAAAATGGCAGGAACAAACATGACCATGTGGGTCAGAGGCCGAGGAGAGTTCCAGCCTGGCAACTCACAGGGCTCTGATGTTGCTGGTTTAGCTGAGCTGTAAAATGAAAGGGCAGCCAGAGGCCCCTGCAGCTCTGACACTCTGCTCCTATCTTACCAAAGAAGCAAAACAGAAGTAGAATCAACTTCCCCGGGGATAAGAGGAGCAACCAAGGCAATCAGATGCACAGCGAAGACTGGCGAGCTCTGAGTTAGAGCTGAAAGGGCAGGAAAGTGCTCCAACTCCTCCAGAGGCCAGAGCCCTCCAGGCCAACCCCTCACATAGTTCCCTGGGTGGAGGCAAGTGCTCAAAGGTCAATTAAATAACTTGCTATCAGCACAGGGGACGCTTTGCTTTGTGTGGGAGCTGGAATTTACAGCATGTGCTGCCTGTCTGCACTCTGTCTCATTCTCCATCATGAGCACAGCCCTGCCGCTTCAGACGACGAGGGCCACAAATGCCCACCCAGCCTCCCGGTGAAGAATGACTGCGGGCCAGGCACTGGGCTACGCTCTGCATTATACAAAAACAAGCTCCTACTCTCGAGGATTCCAGCCATTCAGTGGGTACCTACCAAGGGCTGGGCCCTTGGCATATTTGACTTCATTAGATCTCAACAAGTCTGTGAGAGAGATGATTAACATCTGTATTTTCCTGATGAGGAAACTGAGTCTCAGACAGCAGGAACAGATCTGACATTAAAGGCTGTGCTGTTTCCAAAAAACCAAGCTGCCTCCAAACAATCATCTAAGAGCCACTGATATAACAGAGTGAATAACAAAAAGCAGGAAGCTAGGGAGGCATCCTGGGGCGAAGAAGAGCTGGCTCTGCCAACAGCCCTCAAGGCACCTGTGTAATCAGAAGTGCAGGCATGGGAAAGCCGCGTGTTCTCATTCTGTCTCCTCATCTGGCAGGTGAGGGTGCCGGGACACCCTGAAAAGGGCTCCTCCCATCCCCAAACCTCCCACCTCTGGCCTACCTGGCCTGCGTGCCATTCTTCCAGTTCCATCTGGCGTCAGGGGGCCCCACCTGACCTCTGCTCATGTGCACTTCCTGGGCACCTCCCTCTCTGCCCCTTGAACACCACCCCTCAAAATGGAAACTCTCAAATTAGAAGCTTGTTCTGTATCTTCCAGAGGATGAAGGCCAGTGCCTGGCCCACAGTGTATTGGTGAAGACAGGCAAATGGACTCACTTACCGGAAGCAGGAGGTGTGCCAGGCTTCGCTGACGGTCCTGTACAACCTCTGGTTGGGAGCAACGTGGTCTCCACAGCCCTGACACCTCCAGGCATCTTCACCTGCACACAGAACCAAGGGGTTCAGAGGCTGAAGAAGCAGGGAGTGCGGGGGCAGGATCCCTACCTTCTAGAAGAATATGGAGTTAACAGACTCTGGTGTTGGAAGGGCTGAGTGATGCTCTGATACATGCACGTTCCCTCCTCTACAAGATCCCTGCTGAGCAGGATCATCAGCTGCTCATCTCCCCAGGGACAGGGACTCCATGGCCTCAAAAGTAGTGTTGTTCAACTTTTAAAAAAATGGTTCTGGCACTTCCCTGGTGGTACAGTGCATAGGAATGCGCTGCCAATGCACGGGGCCCAGGTTCGATCTCTGGTCCAGGAAGATTCCAACGAAGCCCTTGTGCCACAACTACTGAGCCTCTGTGCTCTGACTGCGGTGTGCTTAGAGCCTGTGCTCCCAAGAGTAGCCCCTGCTCGCTGCGACTAGAGAAAGTCTAAGTGCAGCAACAAAAGACCTGAGGCAACCAATAAATAAATATTTTAAAAAGCTGATTCTGGTTGGTCCTTTTTTTTTAATGAAACAAAACCTGCCTTTTCCTTTCTTTCAGCCCATACTTACAGTCCTGAGTACAAGAAATGAACAAGTCTCTTTCTTTTCGGGTCGACCTTTCCTACAACTGTCCCTAGCCAGCACCCAGAAAGGTCTACTCTCTGGGTTACACACGTTGTAGCCTTGTCCTTCTCCTCAAATGCCCTAGTTGTGCTGATTTCCCATCACTTCGTCCAGGAGCTCATTCATTCAATCAGCATCATGGGTCTTTTCTCTGGACCCGTCAGTCCAAGCTCTACCCTGGAGGCTGTTGGATAAATCAACTTGCTCCTGGAAGAGGAAATACACTGGAAAAAAAAATTCTTCCATATTGTAATTTTTTTTTTTTTTTTTACTGAGATGTTGTTTCACAGCAAAGTACTTAGTTCAGAGAAAGAAATTACCAGTACAGTAGGAAAAGAACAAAGATTTCATGAATGCCTCCTACTTGCCAAGAACTGTGCTAGGTTCTTTCACAGACCCAATCTCAATTCTCAAAACGATACCATGAGACAGGTATTATTATATTCATTTAATGGTGAAGGGACTGAAACTTGGGGCTGGGGGTGAAAACTCAAGCATCAGCATTAGCATCCCAGCTCAGGTCTGGCCCACTCTACAGCCTGTGCTTTTTCTAGTTCCTGCTCATTCTGCTCAGGGGAGCCAGGAAAGTGTCTGCAGGGGAAGTTGAGCCTTGAAAGACAGGGAAAGTTTACTAAAGGCTGAAAAAGGATGGGGAAGGGCTGTGTGGGCTCAGAGATGAGTATGGGCCATAGCACAGAGCCCGTCCATGTCCCTCCAAAAGGGATAGAACACAATGCTCCTGGGGTGATTCAGATGCTAACTTCGTGAAATAAAGCGGGCAGCTGAGATCAAGTTGTGGTACCTGACTCAGCCCTAGGAAATGGGACAGGGTTGTTACAAGACTCTGTTGTGCGCCTGTGTGTGCAGCTTTGTTCTCTTTGGGTAACTCCAGACTGCCACAGGCACAGTGACAGGCACCGGACCCTGGTTTACAGGCACAGGGGCCATGAATAGACAATGCACGGCTCCACACACTTCAAGATTGCTTGGCGGCCTTCTGGGGCAGCCAGGGCACCGGCAGCTGTCCTCCCAGCATAGGGAAGAGTTGAACAAGCTGGCAGAAAGTTTTAATGCCTCAGCCTACACGCTCCTCTCCTATGCACGCATCACCTCCTGGATCTAAACTTCTTAGACTTTCAAGGGGGAGAAGCCTTTGTGTTTTGAGGGTGGTAGTGCTCACACAGTGCACCAACAACCTCACAAACTCTGAGGCAGAAACGTCTGAGACACTCCCTCCAACCAGATTATGGGTGAAACAGTGGTTTAGTGACAGGGTTTTTAGTGAACACAGACATCAAAATGAATCTTCCCAGTTCTGTAGGTACTGGCATGAAATGTTTTGAAAGCTCTTACATGAAAGGCCTGTTAAGACTGCCGGGTCTCAGCCCCAGCAATTCTCGTTATTTTAAGCCACACCTGTTTCTTGCTTTAACTTTTTAACCCACAAGGAACAGGCTCTGAACTAACCATCCACTTACTCAACAATCTGTCTTGGCTCTGAGTGACCTCTGGCTGTTTGCAAAATTCAAGAAGAATCAGGACTTTCCACTATGAAGATATTCAAACTAACTTGTTATGTCCATACCCTCCAGAGCCTGTGGTGCTCTCCAGTCTTGAGAAACTCAAAGTCATTAAACACACACTTAACACGTGCTCTGTACTAGACATTGAAAGTGAAAGTGAAGTCGCTCAGTCGTGTCCGACTCTTTGTGACCCTAGGGACTGTAGCCTACCAGGCTCCTCAATCCATGGGATTTTCCAGACAAGAATACTGGAGTGGGTTGCCATTTCCTTTTCCAGGGGATCTTCCTGACCCAGGGATCAAACCCGGGTCGCCCGCATTGTAGGCAGACGCTTTACTGTCTGAGCTTTCCGTACTAGACATTAGGGGCGCAAGGATCAAGATCCCCACCTCAACTTCCTCCTCTCACATCCACCGGATTCCACCTTTGAACAGTCTCCGTGTCCTTCAGCACGGCCACTCCCCCACCCTGAGGCCAGTCCTTTGGCTCCGTTTCCTGCTGTACTGCACTCTTAGCTGACTCACCCAGATGCCCCAGTGTCTACAGAACTCAACTGCTGAGCACTGTGCTCTGGTCTGGACTCCACCCCATCACACCTCTCAGAAGACAGTCTCCACCACCCCCTGTTCCACTGCTCCTTCCAACTGCCGTTTAAAGAAGTTCAAGTCTTTCCCATTCAAAACAAATCTGGAGCCCGCTTTCTCCTCTAGCTACCACCCTTGCTTCTCCACTTCATAGCCATATGTATTAAAAGCTGTCTAACAGAAAATAAACTTATGGTACAGTGGATAAGACTCACCTGCCAATGCAGGGGACTGGGATTCGATCCCTGGTCCAGGAAGATCCCCACATGCCATGGAGCAACTAAGCCCATGAGCCACAACTAAAGCCTGAGTGCCTAGAGCCCAAGCTCTGCAAGACAGAAGCCACTGCAATGAGAAGCCCGTGCACTACAGCAGAGAGCAGCCCTCACTCGCCACAACCAGAACAAGCCTGCACAACCGTATATAAACAAACATGGACCAAGAACAAGTTAGTGCATCATTAAAAAAAAAAAAGGGATTCCTTGGTGGCTCAGCTGGTAAAGAATCCGCCTGCAATGCAAGAGACCTGGGTTCAATCCCTGGGTTGGGAAGATCCCCAGGAGAAGGGAACAGTTACCCACTTCAGTATTCTGGCCTGGAGAATTCCATGGACTGTATAGTCCATGGGGTCGCAAAGAATCGGACATGACTGAGTGACTTTCACTTCACTTTCCCCTTCCCTGGCAGTCCAGTGGTTAAGGCTTCACCTTCCAATGCAGGGGGTGTGGGTTTGATCCCTGTCAGGAGCTAAATTCCCACATGCCTCAGGGCCAAAAAAACAAAACATAAAACACAAGCAATACTGTAACAAATTCAATTAAGACTTTAAAAAAAAAAGAAAGAAAGAAAACAAATTTAAGTACCAAAGGGGAAAGGACAGGGAGGGATAAATTAGGAGTTTGGGATTAGCAGATATAAACTACTATATACAAAACAGATAAACAACAAGGTACAACTGTAAACCATGGGGAAACATATTCAATATCCAGTAAAACCCCAAAACCAATACAACACTGTAAGTCAACTATACTTCAACTTAAAAAGAAGCTGTCTACACATACTACACTGCCTTCATTTCCACACTTCCTATTTACCACACAATCCACTGCAATTTGACTTCCACCCCCACCATTTCTCTGAAACTGCCTCACCAAGATCAACAGTGACTGCTTATTGCTAAATTCAATGGACATGCTTCAGTCATTCTTTCAGCAAATATTTATTGCATGCCAACTATGTATCTAACTGTGCTCGGTCGGAAAAAAGCAGCACACAAGAAAGAGATTAAACATAGAGCATATATTAAACATTAACATAACTATTTTCATTATAATTGTGGCAAGTCATAGGAAGGAGATATCAAGTTTATATAACGGAGCAAATGGTGTTGGGTAGGGCACACAAGAACATATTCCCTAAGGAAGTAATTTCCAAGTTGAGCTCTAAAGGATGAAGAGAAATTAACCAGGCCAAAAAGAGGAAAGGATAACTGTGCAAGCTGGGATGGCAGGCAGATCTGTGCAAAGCTCCTAAGGCAGCAACACAAGCTCCTCACACACACTGCTGCTGCTGCTAAGTCACTTCAGTTGTGTCCGACTCTTCGTGACCCCATAGGTGGCAGCCCACCAGGCTCCTCTGTCCATGGGATTTGCCAGGCAAGAGTACTGGCATGGGGTGCCATTGCCTTCTCCTCACACACACTAAAGCTGGCTATTGTCAGCTCCTTGGCCTACTGCAATCCCTCAACAAACATTTATTGAAAGGAGGACCTCCCTGGTGGTACAGTGGTTAAGAAACTGCCTGCCAATGCAGAGAACATGGGGTCGATCCCTGGTCCGGGAAGGTACCACATGCTGTGGGGCAACTAAGCCCATGTACCAAAACTACTGAAGCATGTATGCTCCAGAGCCCATGTTCCACAACACGAGAAGCCAGAACACTGCAATAAAGAGTCTCTGCTCACAGTAATGAAGATTCAGCCACAGCCAAAAATAAAGAAATAAATTAAAGAAGAAAAAGGAAGAAATGGCCCTCGACTAGGTGGCCCTAAAGAACCTTTATCTTTTAACACCCCTTACAAAGGAATGTTCTAGTCACATCTTGATCTATTTTTTATTCCTGTCACATGCATTTATATTCCTGCATCCAAACACTCACAACTCTAGTTACTCTGGGTGTTTAGGCTACTGTTTACCCACCTTTTCTGCCCCCTTCATCAGACGTCCATCTTCCCTTCATGGTCCCCTAAAGGTAGGAAGTGTTTGTTTCACTTTGTCA